GGTAATCAGGGATCCAGAATGTGCCACCTCAGAATGTGCTCCTCTGGCATAAAGATTATTTCGAACTGAAGGCAACTGGGGAAGAAAATGTAGACACAAGAAAAACTCTCTGGACACCCCTCTCTACCAGGAGGGACAGGATGATTCCCAATGATCAAAGATACCTCTGGACTCTTATCAGCCCAGAGAAGGCACCAGAGGAATCTACATAGCAACCCTTGCTAAAGTAACCCTTATCTTCCATTGGTTTCCCAATATATTTGCCCTCCCACCATCTGCCACCCCTGAGAGATCAAAGTTAATGGTTCCTTTTGTGAAAATGTTGTATAAGCCCCCAAGTTCCAATAATCCCTTTGAGTTAGTCGTCCTTAACTTCTCCCATGTGCCTGTGTGATGCACTTTTGTTTTTCTCTTGTGTTAATCTGTCTTGTAGAGCTAGTTCTGAGGGTCCCAGCCAATGAAACTAAGATGAGTAGAAGAAAAAGATTTTTTTCCTCTTCTACAGTAGTAAAGAGAACTAGATTATGAATTAATTATCCTAATGAAGGAAAAGTCAATGAGAGAGAAAAGTAAGAAATACAAAAAAAAAAAAAAAGATAAAAAGATGCTCCTTGGCAATCAACGCTAAGTAATAGATTTCACAGATTTCTTAAAGCTAATATGTTCTGACATGTGCATCATTCATGGCCAACCAATATATGTAACAACTACTTTCTAGTTCAGGTACCAATGTCAATTGTTAATGCCTTTTGTTATTGTCCAGTTGTTCTTTTTTAACAAGGCAGTCAAGGAACACTGATATAAATGTAAACTCATAAGAACAGCCAACAGTAGCCAACATATAGCTGCTAACTTGCCAGTCACAAGTTTGCTAGCCAACACAATCTTTATGAAACCTATTAGCCTGCTTTTATTTTTATCTTACTAGTTTTAGAAATGAGAAAACTGAAAGACGAAGAAGCTAAAGAAGTCCAAAGTGAAGCCATGACTATCAATGCAGAGGTGTGACTCTAGAGCCACAGTGCTTTGAACTTGCTACTCTCAGAGATATTTTTATATGTCCATATGTTCTGTGATTGGCAGATTTAAAATTTTATATTTTAATTTATATTCAAATAGAAATCACTGGTCAAAGCTATTTCCAAAATCTACCAGTATGAAGTGATTCTATCTTAACTTTTATGAGTCATGTGAATAAAATAGTTATATTAAACATTTTCCAGATTTGAAATTTAAAAATCACTTCTGATGACTAAAAATTAGAAAATCAACAGAATATCAAGTACCATATTATAAAATGACATTTTCATATTTTGCTTTCAACTGTGATGCTAACTTTGTCAGATACCATGACCTGATATTTACTTGAAGCATGATGATTATGACCCATATTTAAAAACCTGTATATATTGCTCTATATTTGAGTGTTTTTAGTATTACTTCTCAGATGGCCTAAAGGGGACTCTATGCATATGACTTAACAAGAGTTAAAAAAAATCAGAGAAATAAATAGTTTGATTTATCGAGTTTAAATAAATTGTCCTTAAATATTTTGAACTAATTAACAGGTTAATCTTTTAAAAATAAATAGATTGAGTCTTTAACAATTTACTGAGTATAAATCATTTTAATTTCTTACATTTGGAAAGTGTTCAATTTTAGATATATAATATAACAAATGTTTTTTCATAGAAATATGTAAGACTTTATCAAAAATAACTACATTTAGTTCATTTCAGAATCTCAGGGGATTTTCGGTATTGACTGAATGCCACAGTGGATCTAATACATAGCACACATTTGTGATTACAAACTTACCCATTGATCAAGCATTGAATAGAACATTTCAAGTACATAATAAGCCTTTTCACTTACTGAGTTGCAATTTTCTGCCATAAACTCCATAAACTCTGCAAATTGTGTCTCTTGACTTTACCTTTCCTCACTTTTTTATTACATGAATTTCATTATCTAAAAATACTATATCTTTATTTTAATCATTCTCTCTATCTCTTTTCTTTTTTTCCTTTGGTTACCTTATTATGTAATGGCATGCTTCTTTCTGTTAACATTCATTGCTCTTCTATTAACTCCATCTTCCACAGTCTTTGAAACTTGATCTCAGTTTCTCTATTTCCGTTTGTCCTTTCACTCTAATCCTGTCTTGTCCTAGTTATAGCAGCTGCCCTGTTGGCGTCTTGCATTTTCTGTGCTTCTCTTCTTCATAGTGAGCTCCATAGTGAAAGTGATTTTCTATTCAGTAATTGCTTGTGTATGGACGAATCTTCTGGGAGAAGGTGAACTATTTCTTAACTCTCTCTGTTGACTACTTAGGCCTAGTTCAAAAGACATAATCTTGTGTTAAATATTTTTGATCATTTGATTTAAACAACTAAAATGTAAAGTTACTAGAACAGAAAAGGGATATTTCTTTGGGCTTTACATATGTTAATCTAGGTATTTCATCTTGCTGAGAGCTTTTAGCAAGTATAAACATTCAATCAGTTCAACAAATTTATGAAAAACTCATTAAAACAAATCAGTAACAAAATAAAATTAAACAACTTACCTTAAATAAAAACATAATTAAGTAATATAAAGCATGATGTGACTAGAAATTACAAATTAGCTCTGAAGAAAAAAATTAAAAGCTGCCTGGCTATTCATCAGACTAACACAGGAGGGAAAGAAAAAGCCTGTTACAACAGGAAACAATTCTGTCCAGGACATGTGCAGCTGTAAAGTGTTATAATGTCTGCCTTCTTTGAGTGATTACTATTTTCTTACTGAGAAATTTTCTTCTTTAAAATCTTAGATATCAGAAACTTTGTGTTTCAAATTATATGGATAAGAATGAAATATCTCACCTTTTCTAGGAGTACCTAATTTACTGTCGTAGAAACATACAACCTCACTTTCCACCCCAGGAGCAAAGCTTCAGATAAAAGGTTTCTGGACACAAAATTCCTCATGTATCTTAATTTTATTGTTTCGGAGGATCAGAACATTTGTAACCAGATCTCATGTTGACCCTTTGTAAGGAGCCTTGCTTTGCTTTCAGCCTGTAAAAACACCCCTTCCTTTAAATTTCACCTCAACTTCACCCCTCCCCCAATCTAAAATAACGCTGTCTTTACTTTGTTTAATGAAACATCCCATGATCCACGTGGTTTGCAGCCTCACTTGTTGCAATGAATCAATAAACCTGACTTTGCTGGACTACAGGTATGCCCCTCGTGGTCTTAGGATGATTGGGCTAGGGCAGACCTAGAAGAAGAGTTAAAATACATGCCGTGATTTATACAGAGAAATATTTCCTGAACTCTAGAAAATTTTCTATATCCAATCACTTGCAAGCTTACAAATTGTTCTAGACGACTGAATTTCAATTTAAGGTATATCATCACCATTGATGTGTTTGCATGGGATAGAAAATAGCTTTCCTCCACCCTTCTAGGCTCTTTGACTGGACTACAAACTAAATTGACACAAGACAGACTAACATAGGAAAAAACATTTAATTATGTATATACACAGGACAGTCCCACAAAGTATGACAAATAAGGGCCATCAGATTGATTGAAGCTTATACAGCATCCTGGGCTATAGAAAGAATTAGAGGCTTGGAGCTTCTGGAGCATGGTGTTGACAAGTTATGGGAGGGTAAGGGGAGGAAATGTATGGTGCATACAGGTCGACTTATGCAGACAAAATGTCTCTCAAGTAATAAAAGTTGTCTCAGAGCAGCCTTCTTTCTGATACAGGTAGTTTTTCTAATGTATATTTCCCTCAAAGAAAAATTAAAGAAAATGTTATGTGTAAGAGATACTATGAAAGTTTAATTTAATTTAATTTAATTTACATTTTCTTACACTTTCTTTCTTCTTGTTGTAAAAATCAAAATAATTGTCAGAAAAATTTGAGACATGATTAAATAATATCACATGTGACTGAGAACCAAACCTAGCCATCTAATTAATTCAAGTGACGACAAAAGATTGGTAACATGATTGAAAAAGAGCATAATGTCATTGAAAAATTTTAGAAACCTATGTATTTTTTTCTTAGGTAATTAAGAACATAACAAATTCATTGTAAAATTCAGAAAGTTATTCTGATAAGACATAGAATCTCTAGGTAGATTTCATAGAAGATATTGAAAAACCTCTTACACTGTAGACAATAGTGGATAAACCAAAGGAAGCCTGTCACAACTGAGTGATTTATGTAATAATTTTAACACGTTTCAAAGCTGCTTTTTAGACTCAGATTTAAAACATTATTTTTCACATAGGGAGAGGTTTTCTTTCTGAATTACATGCATGTAGACACAGAGACACACACAGTTTTTAGAGCTTCAGAACTTTGCCCGGTGTCCTTCTGGAAACACGATTTACCTGAGTGACCACGGTTTGCCTTTGAGAACTCGGCTCAGGTGTGTCTTCCTCCAGGATTTTGTCTCTGTGTCAGATGTCCCCTGAGGACTGTTTATGGATCTGGGCACACACCTAGAATGGCCTTAGCCTACTATGTTGTTTTTGCCTGCTATCGTTCTGCCTTAGCACGAGACAGACACTCAGAGGACTAATGTGTATATTTTATCTTGGTAGCCCAAATGCATCGTACCGTACCCATCGATCCACCTCAATATTATGTGTGTGTTTTCAGTGAATAAAATAGATAAAATGAGTTATGAAATGGTCAAAAATAAAAACTTATCACGAAAAACAGAACCGATTCTTTCAGAAAGCCATACCACAAAGGGAGAGATGCTTTATCATAGAAGAACACCAAATGAGTACCATGACATGTGTGTGTTATCCTGATGTAATGCAATTATCTGACCTTAGAAGCAGTCAATTAGGCTCTTCAGCGTTTATTTGCTCAGGGCAACATGTGAGTGTGTTGCTTTTTTTCTGTCAGGTTATTCCAAAGTTAAAAATAATAAAAATTCTTAGTGGTCTGTAAAGCACTGTATCATTGACAGACACTTAGAAATGCTACATGAGGTGAGCCTCTTGACCACATGTTTTTCGCACCAACCTTACTAGAGCCCATTTCATGTCATTGTTCTTCAGGCTGTAGATTACAGGATTAAGTATTGGAGGTATCACAGTGTAGATCACAGAAAGCAGCCTGTTAATAACAGATGGTATATTTGAAGGTGGCTTGAGATAAACAAAATAAGCAGTTATGATAAAAACAGTGAAAACAACGAGATGGGGGAGACATGTGGAAAAAGCTTTTGACTGACCCTTAGCGGTAGGAATCTTCAGCACAGTGGAGAAAATATAAATGTAAGAGATCACAATACAGATGAAACAAGACATGCCTAAACATGTACCAATTCCAATACTTATATAAATTACCATGAGTGTTCGAGAGCAGGAAATCCTCAGTGTGAAGGAACATCACAGAAAAACTGTGGGATCACACTGGAGCCACAGAAAGGCATGGAAAATGTGCCAGCTGTGTACACAGCTCCAAAGAGTCCTCCGATGGCCCAGGAGGCACTTGCCATCAGCACACAAGCACCATCATTCATGATGACCTCTTAGTGCAGGGGACAGCAGATGGCTACATAGCAGTCATAGGACATGGCAGTAAGGACAAATATCTCACCTGATGAGAAGGAAGTCATTAAAAGTAGCTGGAGGGGAGGAGAAAAAATGGTGGAGTTAGGGTAGCCTCCGGAATCCCTGCTTCCAGAGAGGGAGAGGTAGATCTCGGTCTGCTACACACGATCGGATCACTCTCCTGCGAAAACAGCGAGGTGAATCTGTGGAGATTCAGCGGGGGAAATGCAAATCAGGAAAAAGGACGGGAGATAGGAATACAAAACCTGGAAAGCGCCGACAGACAATAGAGAGTGGAGCGTGAGACGGCGGCGCCAGCCTGGCCAGTAAGTGCACCGGGACAAGTCCTTCATGAGACAGTCTAGCTTTCCCACTGACTTACAAGCCCACCGAGAGGCAGGGGCTTGTGTGAAGTGGATGTAGAACTGGGTCTGGAAACGTGGGTCTCAGCGGAGAGGAGACACGAGCGGGAAGCATCTTGAACTTCCCAGAGTTCCGTGTCAGGACTGCACCGGACAGGGGAGGAGCTGGGCTGGGCTACCGCTGGAGGCAGTTAGGACTCAGGAAGCTGGTCTCTGGCACCCAGCAGGTCCTGAATGAGGAGGTGATTACTGAATAGAGGACTCTAACCTGGAAACTGCCAATGGTGACTGGGACTTCTCAGGGTGGGCCAGTAGAAGCAAGAGCTATTGTGGGACTGGCGTGAGATTGGGGGAGGGAGACACAAAGGAGACGGCAGAGCATCCTGGTGACGCGATTGACTCCCTGATCGGGTACTTCCCAGCCCCTGAGCGTCTCCCTCTGGAGCCAGCGCACTGGGGGCCACGAGCGCCAGCTTGGGGCCCACAGCAGATCGCAGGTGCGGAACGGCTCCCTTCCGGTAGCCTGGGAACTCTGGCAGCTAGCTCTGCCTTGCCGGGACCTGGGGCCACTTGGCTGGGCCCGTTTCTTTGAGCGGTGAATGCTGAGTGCCTCCTCTGAATTCTGAGTGTCTCCTTGCCTGTGGGGGGAGGACGCCTGCAGAGCCTGAAAGCGCTGGGGCGGGCGTTGGGCAGTCTGGTGGAGCGCCCCTTCCCCCTGGCCAGCACCTTCCGCATGGCCTCCGAGCTTGCAGCAGAGAGACATAGAGAGCCACTCCCCGTCTGCGACAAGCGCCACTCCCTGGGGATTTGGCACTGACCAATAGCTGACAGCCCAGTGACTTTCCTCGCCAGACTGGTTCAGGTAACCCGGTACCATTGCATTTCCGCCTCTGGTCAGCTACCAACAGAGAAAGCCCAGCAAGGGACCAAAACAAGCTCTCCAAGTAACCCCTCCCATCAAGAGAGCGGTGGACAACATACTAGCGGCTCCCGCTAGTGGCAGAACAAAACAAAAGTAACAGCGGATCCAGATGGGAAGGACCCAGCGAAAGATTTCTGGAAGTATGAAAAATCAAATGGAAAGCACGCCCCCAAAGAGGAACACCTGCTCTCTAGCAATGAACACTAACCAGGTCCAGAATACTAAAATGACAGAAGAAGAATTCCAAACATGGATTATAAGTAAGCTCAATGATATCCAAGGAAAAATGGATCACCATCACAAGGAAACCACAAAAAAAAATCCAGGAATTGGAAGAAAAATTCACTAAAGAAATTGAAATATTAAAGAAAAATCAAACCGAACT